TAAACTCCCAGAAACCCGCAGGTCCGCTGCTACTCTCAGTTTTTTAAAATCAAAGCTGAAGACCTTTTCTTTTTGATGTTGCCTTTCTCTGAATGGCGTTCATTTCTTTACTGTTTAATCTCTTATACTGCAACGTAATTTTTATTCTTGTGTTTTATTCTGTTTTTATTTTTAACTGTTTCTTCTGTGTGAATTGCCCTGTTGCTGAAATGTGATATACAAATAAAGCTGCCTTGCCTCGCCTCGCCTGATGGTACTTTCATCCACTAGATGTTCCGAATAGGGCTGAAACAATTCCGTTTAATCGTGATTAAACGATTACTGAAATATCCGTCAACTAGTTTAGTAGGCAGCAGGCTACTTCCATGCTTACCCCCTGCTCAAACGCTCAGTATTGTAACTCTGTTGTTATTGTAAATATACAAGGACTAGGATATATATAAGGACTTTATCTACAAACAAACTGAGCAAAAACAAAATATAAAATGCATAAATAACAAGTCATACAACAGCAGGTTGAAAACTCTGTTTGCAACCAGACAGCTAATGGCAGATTGATATAAAGAATGTTTTATGCTGCTTTAATGAAAGCAGCTCAGTGTTTTAACACTAAATTATGCTTTTGGTCTTCATCCAGTTTTTAATCCAGCAATAATTCTCTCATTTCTGCAGACTTCACACTGTTAACTGATTTTATATCCAGGTTCTTTTACAGCAGCAGCAGTCCGGCCCGTTTGGACCCAGTTCAGACTAGTTAGAACCTTTTTGAGTCCACTGTTGTTGTTATTGTGTCTCCAGGTGAGCTGACATGGTTGTGAAATGTTCCTGGAAAAGTTTCCCAACACAAGGATCGACAGCCGGACCGTTCATACAGAGCTGTGAATGAATCAGTCAAACCTTCTCACGTCACTGTGGTTGGATCCACCCGCTGCCACAGACACAGGAGGCAGATCCACCCACTTCCACAGACACAGGACGGTCCATGAAGCCAGCCTTCAGCCTTACTGCTGCTTCTTCTTTAGATGTTTCCTCAGGATTCTGTGATTCATTTAAAGATTTCATTCCTGTCCAATCAGACCAAAGGTTTCCTCTAAAGAGAAGCAACATCAGAGCCGCACCGCATGCAGGAAACTGAAGCGATGAATCAGGAAATGTTTTCTGGATAACAGAGAATTTTTTACTCTTTCTGAGAAATCACAGTGCCACCAGAGCAGAGCTTCCTGCGTAATGGCAGCAGGAGAGCTTCACCAGAGAAGAAGTCACTGTGATCCAGGGAACCATGTTCATTATCAGGTGCATCATCGCCACCAACTGGAGAGGAGTGGAACAGCTTCTAAAATTTTGTTCACTTTTACAAACTCAGACGCAGACATATTTGTTGACATTTCTTAGACCATATTTATGACTCATGATTCAATTCAATTCCATTTATTTATGTAGCGCCAATTCACAACACGTCATTTCAAGGCACTTTACAGAGATAATTCAACCAGATATTCCAGTCAGATTGGCTCAAAGTTCTCTATCTAAGGAAAACCAGTTGATTGCAGCAACTCATTGACTCAAAGGCAATCCCTCCAACTAAGCATGACAGAAGCAGACATAGAAAAAGAGGAATAGATACAAAAATCAGCTGTAAAAAGGCGGCCCCGACCAGGAAACACACAGCCAGGCAGACGAGCTCCGGCCAGCTCCCATGTCAGAGGATGAAGAGAGCACATCCAGTTAGTCACAGTCAGAGAAACAGGACTACACTGGAAAACAGGCCAAGCTCCAACATCTAGAAACAAAGGAACCAGACCAGATGAAGCTACTATGAGAAAAAGCAGAGAGAGCAGAACGTTAGAGATTGAACTAACAGATTCTGCAGAGTGGGAGAATAGAGATAGAATGAAGCAGAATTATGAAAAAGGGGTCCGTATGTCCTCCAGCAGTCTAAGCCTATAGCAGCAGAACTATAGAGAAATATGTTTGTTTGTTGTTTTATTCCCGCTCTGGCTATAAACTGACCAATCAGGCTGGTTCTGGATGTTTGGGCCTCTACATGTGCCAGCAGATGTGTTGAGGCGTCCATGACGCATATACCTCATAAGAGCCATAAGAGGAGAACAAAGATGATGTTTGCTGGTTCCAGACCACATCAAACCGGCTCTATCAGTGATGATGATGTGATGAAGAGTTCTGTTGAACAGGTTTCTATCAGCTGATCTGACGTCAGCACCCTTTCACTGTAAAAGTCTCATGCTTTGTGGATCTCCTCTGTCAGCTGAAGTGTTATCAGGCAGCTCACCTGTCTGAGCTGCTGACTCACCTGAGTGGGTCTCCCTCAGGCTGCAGACCCAACCAGTCAGAGTAAAGGTTATTATGAAGAAACTGCAGAAATGATCCCGGAGCAGCCAGACTGTCTGGATCTGAAACAGCTCTGCTCTTTTAAAGCAACCAGCGACATCTAGTGGTCATGGAGGACAGGCGTCTGCAAACATCTGCGACCTTTGAAAACTAGCAGATCATTTTACAAAATTTGGAAAGAAAATTAATCTTCAGAAGGGGTTCTTTTCAAATATTACAGCATAAAAATATTAACTTAGCATGTCGTTAATTTAAAATCTTATGTTATATTTCCAATTAATTACAAACTTTGTCACAGTTCTTGATAAAACTAAAACAAAACATAAAATATCTCAAATGCATGTCCACAGTTAAAGGGATCCAGGTTCAGTTTAGACTCACAATATTAGAGCAAAAGATAAAAACATCTTTTGTTACTCAGCCATCCTCAGATAGAGGGAGCATTAAATTATTATTATTAAGTTATAGTTGTGTTTAACCATAATTAAAAACAAGAGGTTTTAAGTAAGAAATACTTTGTTTCATTACTTAAGTAGAAATATTGGCATCGATACTTTACTGGAGGAATTATTTTTCTGCTCTACTGCTTTTTTTTTTTCCAATTATCTCTACTTTCTACTCCCCTAACATTTAGTTAGTTTTGTTTCATTTAAGTTAATTTTCTTTATGGGCTGTTGGTTTAAAAAAACTACCCTATTAATTTCTCTGTGGTTGGACTCGGTGCTGCCCCAACTTGTTGCTCACTACATAGCAAAATAAATCGTTTTTCAAGATGATGCAAAGTTAAATGTTACCATTAGTTATAAAACTAAGAAAATTAAGTCTAAGGCGGTTATCATCCAGAATTGTAGAAAAATGTTCCTTTAATAGGGTAGAGCAGTAAAGATTCTGTCCTTAACAGTTTTTCTTGAATTACTTTTACTTTTATACTTTAGGTTGTTTTAAAAATGCTACTTTTACACTTTTACTGGAGTAAAAAGCTGAAGTTGATCCTAAAACTTCTATAAAAGCGTTTTTAAAGAGTAGGATTTATACTGGAGGAATAAACATGAATACTTTTGACACCTTTGTTAAAGATATATTTTGTCAGAGAAAAACAAATCTTTTCCTGAGAGCTTTGGCGCCCCCTGGTGGCCCGGACCAGGAGTCTGCGGCTGATCAAACCCAAATGGAGGTAAATAAAGCTCCATCCAGACCAGCTGAGGGAAAATCACCAGAACTTCTTCTCTGTAGACCTTTTATTTAAGGTTTTAATTCTATTAACAGATGTAAATTAAAAAAAAGGGGGCAGTGAAATTAAAATTTCTCTAAAATACTAGTGACCATAAATAAATATTTATTTTTAGAACACTGTTTTTTTTATTATTTAGGATCTCTCCATAGGGATATGTTATAAACATAAAGAGACCTTGAGTCTCAAACAGAAAACACGTCTAACTTCAAATGATCTGTTTAACATTTAATCCTAAATGATTAAAATCCTCTGATAGGTTCACCCATCCTCCATCTGCCTCATGGCCGCCTCTCTATCTGCATGAAGACGAATCATTTAGATCTTTATGAATCAGAACTACAGACTCTCATCATGGAAATCTCCTCCAGATGTGAATCTGCGTTGGACGGCGTCTTTAAAGGAAAAGTCCAGTCAGCAAGGAATAATCAATGGATCATTATTAATACCTAAAAGTAATATGTTTGCTGTGATTTAATGAATTTAGCGTTATCCAGTAAAAAATTCAAACTATTTTTGGTGACATCACTGAATCTGGGAGCGGCCCAAATATAGTAACACCTCATTAGTTGCAGCCGACTGTTTAGGGCATAGAGCTTGGAATCCAGAGGTTCCCTTAACCCCACACTGCTCCCTGGGTGCCGCATGATGGCAGCCTACTGCTCCCTAAGAGGATGGGTTAAATGCAGAGTTCATCTTGTTGCTCTGTACTTGTGACAGTGTAATGACAATAAAAGCTGGAAAAAATTAGCAGGTTTACTGATTCTGAGCTCCTACCAGCTCCAGATTTAAAACACGCTGTAGATCTAAATACGGAAGAACTGAGCGGGACTCAGAGTGGACTTATTTAAGGTTTTATTACAGGTCTGTTCTGCAGATCCAGTTATTAGGTAAAAATTGGAGATCCTCATTTCATCTCTGCTGACCTCAGCCGTCTGAAAGGATGGCAGCTGCCATCC